TGGTCAATGATTAAAAAACTATGGTTCTGTCCTCTTCATTCTTCTACTATTAAATGCTTAGTATTCCAACAGTGGTCATGAGAAGTTTCTCACTGAAATTTCAACTCAGATTCTTACTTCATATTACAGATACAATTCCCAACAGGGCTGTGCAGATTCTTAAAAAAAGGTGCTTCAGAACATGTGGGAGCACACACTAAGCACTTTTTTTGAATTGTTAAAGCAGCTTTATGTCTTGTTCACTAGTTGTGCCCTTTCCTCATTCAGAAGGCCCTTCAGACAGTCACTCGTGCCCTGGTCATTGGATTATTGCAATGCGATCTACATGGGGCTGCCCTTGAAAACCAGCCAGAAGCTACAGCTGGTTCAAAATGCAGTGGCACAAGCAGTGATGGGTGTCTCTTGGTGTACCGATGTGTCACCACTGTTAACATGAGCTGGATTGGTTGCCAGTTGACTTCTGAGTGCAATTCAGGGTGCTGGTTATTACATATAAAGCCCTGTATGGCATAGGACCTGGATATTTGAGAGACTGCTTGTCTCCAACTGTTTCTGAGTGCCCAGCAGAGTGAGTGCACTCCAGATCTTCTCCATTAAACATTGCCATCTTGTGGGACCTAGGAAGCATGCCTTCTCTGTTGAGGCCCCCACCTTGTGGAATAGCATCCCCCCAGAGATAAGGATCGCACCCTCTCTCCTAGGGTTCTGGAAAGCTTTGAAAACCTGGCTTTGGTCCCAGGCCTGGAGTTAATGTTTATTATTTGTTCAATGGCCCCTGTTTTGTTTTGTTGATTTTGCTGTTTATTAGATTATTTTAGTCTGTGCTCTTGGTTTGATTTAATGTTTTTAGCTGTTTTTATTTTTTCTCTAGTTTTGTATGCTGCCCAGAATCCACTGGAGTTGGATGACCAATACATTTAAATAAATAAATAATAATAACAACAGCAACAATAAAACAGACAAATTAATAGAAAATGAAAAAGTGAAAGTGCTCTTGGACTTTAGAATTCAAACATATAAGCACCTGCCCAGACTTAACAATTGTTGATAAGAAAGACAAAAATGTCTGGATAGTGGACATTGCAATTACTGGAAACAGCAGAACAGAAGGGAAAGAACTGGAGAAAATCACAAGATACAAAGACCTGCAAATAGAAATAGAACAACTATGGCAAAAGAAAGCAAAGATAGTACCTATATTAATAGGCACCTTGGGTGTAATCCCAAAACATCTGAAGTACCACTTGACAACCATTGGCATTGACAAAATCACCATCAGTCAATTGCAAAAGGCAGCTTTACTTAGAACAGATTACATCCTGTGATGATACCTTTAACTCCATCAG